CGGGATGATGCATTACGGAACGAGTAAAGAGACTTGCCCATAACGAGATTGAACTAGGTATTGAGATACCGATGATCGAATCTCGGGCAAGTAACATACTGATGATAAAGAGAACAACGTATATTGTTATGCGGTTTGACCGATAAAGATCTTCATAGAATATGTGGGAGCCAATATGAACATCCAGGTTCCGCTATTGGTTATTGACCGGAGATGTGTCTCGGTCATGTCTACATAGTTCCCGAACCCGTAGGGTCCGCATGCTTAACGTTCGGTGACGATCGGTATTACGAGTTTATGTGTTTTGATGTACTGAAGATAGTTCGGAGTCCCGAATGTGATCACGGACATGACGAGGAGTCTCAAAATGGTCGAGACATAAAGATTGATATATTGGACGGCTATATTCGTACACCGGAAGTGTTCCGGGTGATTTCGGAGAAAACCGAAGTGTCGGAGGGTTACCGGAACCTCCCCCCCCCCGAGGAACTAATGGGCCACATGGGCCTTAGTGGAGAGATAGAGGGCCGACCAGGGCAGGCCGCGCGCCCCCTCCCCATCTAGTCCGAATTGGACTAGGGAAGGGGGGGGGGCGCCCCCCTTTCCTTCTCCCTTCTCCTCTCCTTCCTTCCCCTTCCTCCTCCTAGTTGGACTAGGAAAGGGGGAGTCCTACTCCTACTAGGTGGAGGACTCCTCCCCTCCTTGGCGCGCCCCAAGGGCCGGCCGGCCTCCCCCTTGCTCCTTTATATACGGGGGCAGGGGGCACCCTAGAACACACAAGTTGATCATTGATCCCTTAGCCGTGTGCGGTGCCCCCCTCCACCATAATCCACCTCGGTCATATCATTGTAGTGCTTAGGCGAAGCCCTCCGCCGGTAGCTTCATCATCACCTGTCATCACGCTGTCGTGCCAACGAAGCTCTCCCTCGACACTCAGTTGGATCGAGAGTTCGTGGGACGTCACCGAGCCGAACGTGTGCAGATCACGGAGGTGCCGTACTTTCGGTACTAGGAACGGTCAGATCGTGAAGACGTATGACTACATCAACCACGTTGTCATAACGTTTCCGCTTACGGTCTACGAGAGTACGTGAACAACACTCTTCCCCTCTCGTTGCTATGCATCATCATGATAGATCTTGCGTGTGCGTAGGATTTTTTTTGAAATTACTGCGTTCCCCAACACACACATAGAGAATTTGTTCGCGTTTCATGTAAAAAAAGTTTCATATTTTTATTTTACTGCTCATCAATGAGCAGATGAGCTCATGATTAGCAGCGGCTTTCCGCAATGCAATATCATGCTATTTCATTTCGATCCTTTCCCTATGAGCACACATTTATAGATGCAATGGTTGGCTAATTTTTACCACAGACTTGTCTACCCTTTTCAGATATATATGTATATGCTTTAATATAAACTAGTCCCATCAAGCGATTTCTTTCAATTGGGAAACATAATTTTGAACTACACGCCAATCGTGAATGGACACCTCGCAATGTTCATATGACGTGTTAAAATAGTTCCCACCGTCTAGTAATGTATATGCATGCTCTTACTTAGATTTGTATTGAATTTGGAATCAGAGGCCATGAATTGATCTGGCGTTTGACTTCCTGGAGCATTCGAGTTATCCTGGTTGGTGCTTGACCTCGCGTTTTGCTCTGCTGAAAGAAAAGTACAAAAATTAGAGTTTTTCTTTACCAATGTTTACCTTCACCAAATAATTAAGTACGGCATTTTCTCTTCAAGATCCACATCGCCTCCATCTTCTCTCTAGATTTTCAATAGTATTTTCCTTTTGGATCTATCCTGGTTGAAAAATTGTGTTCCTTCAGAATTTGGAAGGCCAATCAATTGTATACTGGTATGTTGTTCCACTAATCTCTCTGTCAAATCAAACTAATACCAGTTGTAATCAAGCTAGATAATTACATGCAAGTGGTATCATTTTAATACCTTGTGCAGCTTTTGAATGTTATATTTGAAACATTGACAATGATGAGGGACATGCTCTTTTGATTGGTACCCTATATATGCTCATTCAACCAATTTGAGGATGCCCTAAAAATACAAAACTAAATAGTACGCAAACAATTTCTGGAGAACGAATGATTTTCCCTCTTAGACTAGAGGGTTGAGATAGTGCTACATATATCCATGTTGATGGAGGTTTGAACATGCCAACAGAAGAAATGGACATAAGACAGTGTTCCCTATAAAAACAGAACTAACTAAAGAGTTATTTTCTATAGAGAAAATACTTAATGTACTTATTTGATGAACATAAAAATTGTGTACTAAGTACACAATTTTTATGTTCATCAAATAAGTACATTAAGTATTTTCTCTTCAAGATCCACGTCACAAAGGCTGGTAAAATAAAAATTGTGTCTTATGTCCATCAAATAAGTACATTAAGTATTTTCTCTACATTAAGTACTTATTTGATGGACATAAGACAAAAAAATGTGGATCTTGAAGAGAAAATACTTATACTGTACTTATTTGGTGAAGATAAAAATTGGTAAGCAAAAATTGTAATCTTCATACTTTTCTTTCAGTGGGCACAGAGGCTGGGACCGAAACGCGTGGTCAAGCACCGGCCAGAATATAACTTGAATTAATGCTCCAGGAAGTCGAACGCCAGATCAATTCATGGCCACGGGTTCCAAATTTGAAACTAATCTATACCTACTATTAAAGGGAATATGTATTCTTTGTTTGATTTAGTCCTTTTCGTTTGGTTTACACACGCTAAGCGATTTGGGCCAGGTACTTGTATGTTGATGGGCCTGTTATGGACTTTCATAGAGACCGCGGAAAATAATTGGGTCAAAATAAATCAACATCGTGGGAATTGAACATAGGACCTCCTATCTAGCTCTTCGATGTAACAACAAACGACCTATGCGCTTTTCACATTTACTAATCCCAACCCGCGCTAAATATATGAGTGGCAGTCATCATGTTTAGGGCGAGCTAATTAAGCGAATGAGCTAATAAAGGAAAGATTATGGGCTTAAATAGAATATTTAAAAGGATGTGGCTAATTAAAAAAAGGATTATAGGTAAACCGGTGGAATAACTAAAAGAAAGATTGTGGTCTTAAATTCTACACGAAGCATTTGAGATAAAAAGGTAGGAAAATTAAAAGGAAGGATCTGTAGGCTTCAATATGTTGGGGCTACTAAATTAGAAAAGTAAGAATTTGATTCCCGACTAAAACGGATGAGGACGTCATGGTAATTAATGAAATAATTATACTTAAATGCCATTAAAAAGGATTATGCTTAAATGGAATCAGTTGAAGATTATGCCCGACAAAGAAAATAAATTGCAACGTATTTTTTTAATGTTCATTTTGTAGAAGGATGTTGCGTTGCAGCATGTTCTTTATAGTGAATCCGATGTTGTAGGACATTATGCTTGCACAAAACATCAATTTTTCCCATTGCAACGCACGGGCATTTGTGCTAGTCTAAATAAGAGCATGTATATACGTTAGTCATCTATCTGTCAAAGAACCATCGTATACCACACTGGATGTCATGGTTAACATCCTTCCCAACAAAAATTAGGATGCCTCGAAATCAAACCACAATACTAATTTCGAGCAAGCAGCAGCTAGCACATACCCACTTGAATAATTGACAAAGAAAGGAATCTAGGTACGTGATCTCCACAACCAAACACCAGACAACTTCAAGGAGACCGTGTCCTCCTCTAGCCTATACTATAAATAGGATAGACATAAGCCCTTTGCTTCTCGCACCTCCCATAGCTCAAGCACCAAGAGTATCTAGCTAGCTAGGCAACGATGGGGCAGGACAAATCAAAATAATACTAGCTGTAGTCAAGCTAGATAATTACATACAAGTGGTATCATTTTAATGCCTTGTGCAGCTTTTGAATGTTATATTTGAAACATTGACAATGATGAGGGACATGCCCTTTTGATTGGTACCCTATTTATGCTCATTCAACCAATTTGAGGATGCCCTAAAAATACAAAACCAAATAGTACGTAAACAATTTCTGGAGAACGAATGATTTTCCCTCTTAGACTAGAGGGTGGAGATAGTGCTGCATATATCCATTTATACGGAGGTTTGAACATGCCAACAGACGAAATGGACGGTAAGACAGTGTCCCCTATGAAAACAGAAGTAACTAAAGACTTTAAAGTTACATGTATTTAATTAAGAGTACCAATCAAAAGAGTGTGTCCCTCATCATTGTCAATGTTTCAAACATAAGATTCAAAAGTTGCACAAGGCATTAAAATGATGCCACTTGTATGTAATTATCTAGCTTGATTACAGCTAGTCTTAGTTTGATTTGACCCAGAATTTGGTGGAACTACATACCAATATAAGATTGATTGACCTTCCAAATTCTGAAGGAACACAATTTTAAAACCAGGATAGGTCCAAAAGGAAAGTACTATTCAAAAATTTAGAGATGTGGATCTTGAAGAGAAAATACTTACTGTATTTATTTGGTGAAGATAAAAATTGGTAAACAAAAATTGTAATCTTCATACTTTTCTTTCAACAGGCAAAGAGGCGTGTCTAAATAAAATGATGGGACTGAAACGCGAGGTCAAGCACCAACCAGAATATAACTCGGTTCACGGCCTCGGATTCCAAATTCGAAACAAATCTAAATAAGAGCATGTAGTTGGTCATCTATCTATCAGAGAACCATGGTATACCACACTGGATGTCATGGTTGACATCCTTGCCAACAAAACTTAGGATGCCTCGAAATCAAACCACAATACTAATTTCGAGCAAGCAGCAGCTAGCACATACCCACTTGCATAATTGAGAAAGAAAGGAATCTAGGTACGTGATCTCCACAACCAAACATCAGACAACTTCAAGGAGACCGTGTCCTCCCCTAACCTATACTATAAATAGGATAGACATAAGCCCTTGGTTTCTCACACCTCCCATAGCTCAAGCACCAAGAGTATCTACCTAGCTAGGCAACGATGGGGCACACAAAGGCAGCAGTGCTAGTGGTGGTGCTCGCCGTCGCCGTGCTTGGGCTTGCCACCGATGGCCAGGCGCAGCTGCAGAACGGGTACTACACGGGCAAGTGCCGCGGCAACGACGTGGAGGCGGTGGTCCGGGGTATCGTCAAGGCCCGATTCGCCCAGGACAGCGCCATCGTCGCCCACTTCCTACGCTTGCTGTTCCATGAGTGCGGCGTCAATGTATGCGTATATTATGACTTTATGAGCTTTTGCTAGCTAGAGCATGATATAGTATATACCAATGTGCCGTTTGATTCATACGTGCGCACCACTAATTCTTCTACTGCACATCCACAGATAGATAGACTAACTAATCTGTTCTTTTCTGGAAACTGAAAGCTAATTTGTTTGACTATACGTGCGTAGGGCTGCGACGGCGGGCTGCTGATCGACGGCCCCGGAACAGAGAAGACGGCAAAGCCGAACCTGAGCGTGAAGGGCTACGACCTCATCGCCACCATCAAAATGGAACTTGAGAAGCGGTGCCCTGGCGTCGTATCCTGCTCCGACATTGAGATCCTCGCAACCAGGGACGCGGTGAATGCGTCCACGGGACAAGGATACGCGGTGCGCACCGGGCGCAGGGACCGCCGGCGGTCCATAGCCACCGACGTGAAACTTCCGGGGCCAGATTTCACGGTTCCGCAGGCAGCCGCTTTCTTCGGCACGCTCGGCCTCAGCTCGGACGACATGGTCGTTCTCCTGGGCGCGCACACGGTTGGCGTCGCGCACTGCAGCATGATCAAGAAGAGCCGTCTTTACAGCTACGGCGGCAAGGCCGGTGCAACGGACCCGAGCATGGACCCGGAGCTAGCGTCCATATACAAGACATACGTGTGCCCCAACACGGCATCCTCCGACAACAACATCGTGTTCCTGGACGACCGGTCCAGCGCGTCCAAGCTGGACAACAGCTTCTACAAGATGCTGCAGCGTCGCCGCGGCGCGCTCATGGTCGACCAGAACCTCTACAACGACGGCTCCACGCGCTGGATGGTCGACAGGCTCGCCAACACTGACCACTTCCGCTGGCTCTTCCCACAGGCGCTCGCCAAGCTGGGGGAGGTCAACGTGCTTACCGGCACACAGGGAGAGGTCCGCAGGGTCTGCAGCAGGTTCAACTGATGAGATCATCATCGTTTTCTGCTGAGACATCAATTAATGGTGTGCCTGTTGTGTTTATTTCCGGTCGGATTGGTGGTAATTTTTTCTCCCTTTTTTGGTTTTGGTCGGATTCATCTCGATGTACTCTGTTCTGACCGAACGTTCGATTCATTTAATTTGAGTTCCATTGAATAATTTCTAATAACATGAACGATTGAGATCAACAGCAACATAATTGATATTATGCATATATACTCCCTCCATACCGAAATATATATCGCTGGAGAAGTTGGTTGCTTCAACGACATATATTTTGGTACAGCGGAAGTACATTTTAGTGGCATAGTACATTATGTTTCTGCTTCACGAATATGATATTTTTTGGACATTTCTAATAATAACAAGATTTATTCCTATTTTGGCATTTTCGATTTCAGGGCTTTTAGCCCTGGTTAGTGAAGGACCGGAGAAGCTTTCTGGTTATGAACCGGGTATAGAACCCATGGGAGGGGCTTGGGTACAATTCCGAATACGCTATTATATGTTTGCGCTCGTTTTTGTTGTTTTTGATTGGGAAACCGTCTTTCTATACCCTTGGGCAATGAATTTCGACGTACTGGGTGTATCCGTTTTTATAGAAGCTTTGGTTCTCGTGCTTATCTAGTTGTTGGTTTAGTTTATGCACGGTGAAAAGGAGCCTTGGAATGGTCCTAACTGAATATTTAGACCAAAAAAAGAAGGAACAGATTCTATCAAGACAGTTATGAATTTGAATTGAATTAAAGGGCTTGCTTTGACCCATAGGAGTAGGTAACCCGTTCGCTATCCTTGTTTCTATTTCTGTTGCATTCTATCTCATCGTGTCACATTCTGTTCTACGATTCCACTTCGACAAAAGGAAAGAGCATACCTAAGTTCAGTAGCTTTACGTCCACTATCCCGATCATGATTTTCCTACCCTCGGGCGGAAAGTAAAGGCCCTTCCCGCTTTTGAAGCCTGTGGGCGAGGAGGGATTCGAACCCCCGACACCGTGGTTCGTAGCCACGTGCTCTAATCCTCTGAGCTACAGGCCCAGTTGTCTCCACTGGATCTCTTCCTGGGGGTACCCCTTCATTTCAGATTAAGAAGATGGGAAAGCGCCTTTCTCTCTATAAGAACAGTGTGTTCCGAGGTGTGAAGTGGGAGAGAGGGGATGTGATGATTGAGGTTTTGAATAAGACGACCTTTGCATAACAGACTTATCTAGTTGGTAATCATGGTGCTTCTGACATCAGTCATTTATGACTGTTCATCTGCATCTACCGCATGACTGGTGATTGTGGTGTTGCAAGAGACCCGTTACTCTGTTTCACGTTTGCAGAAAAATCCTTTGGTCTCTCGAGAGCAGCCCCTTAGTGGAAACACAGCGCGCGGTCGCACAAGCTTCCTTCCGGTTGTGATAATTCTGATGTGTAGCAACATAGCAGCGGTTACTACAGATCATAATTGGCGAGGGAATTCTCAATGCAAATAGACATATATAAGATGATCATACAAAACCATTCAGTTTTGTTGGTACACAGGAACAATATCACGGAGGACGGTTCTTCGGTGCTCGAGCTCATCTGCTCCTATGGATGGACATTAATTTTTTTTAAATAGCAAACAAAATAAAAAGAAGTTAATTTTTTGGCATGAAGAAGTTGTATATGTGCTGCAAAATGTCATGACGATATGAAATGGGGAGAGCTCTGAAAATTTTGAAGCTTTGAGAAACGTTCCAAATTTTGATTTTGGAGCACTGATTTTTTGTCCTGAGCCTCACCTATGTTATATGGTCATGAAACTTTGCACACAAAGAGAATTTGTTCATGTTTCATGTAAAGAAATGTTTCATATTTTTATTTTACTGTTCATCAATGAGCAGATGAGCTCATGATTAGCAGCAGATTTCCGCAATATCATGCGATTTCATTTAGATTCTTTCCCTATGAGCACACATTTATAGATGCAATGGTTGGCAAGTTTTAACCACAAACTTGTCTACTCTTTTTAGATCATACGCGTATGCTTCAATATAAACTAATCCCATCAAACGATTTCTTTCATTTGGGAAACATAATTTTGAACTACACGCCAATGATGAATGGACACCTTGCAATGTTCATATATGACTGGTGTTAAAATAGTTCACGCCGTCTAGTAATGTATATACATGTTCTTGCTTAGATTTGTATTGAATTTGGAATCAGAGGCCATGAATTGATCTGGCGTTGACTTCCTAGAGCATTCGAGTTATTCTGGTTGGTGCTTGATCTCGCGTTTTGGTCTGTTGAAAGAGAAGTACAAAAATTACAGTTTTTCTTTACCAATTTACCTTCGCCAAGTAAGTACGGTATTTTCTCTTCAAGATCCACATCGCCTCCATCTTCAATCTAAATTTTCAATAGTACTTTCCTTTTGGATCAATCCTGGTTTTAAAATTGTGTTCCTTCAGAATCTGGAAGGCCAATCAATTGTATATTGGTATGTAGTTCCACCAATTTCTCGATCAAATCGAACTAATACTAGCTGTAATTAAGCTAGATAATTACATACATGTGGTACCATCTTAATGCCTTGTGCAGCCTTTGAATGTTATATCTTCACAATGATGAGGGACATGCTCCTTTGATTGGTACTCTGTATATGCTCATTCAACCAATTTGAGGACGCGCTAAAATAAAAAGCTAAATATTACGTAAACAATTTTTGGAGAACGAATGATTTTCCCTCTTAGACTAGAGGGTTGAGATAGTACTACATATATCCGTTTTTATAGAAGCTTTGGTTCTCGTGCTTATCTAGTTGTTGGTTTAGTTTATGCATGGTGAAAAGGAGCCTTGGAATGGTCTTAACTGAATATTTAGACAAAAAAGAAGGAAAAGATTCTATTGAGACAGTTATGAATTTGAATTGAATTAAAGGGCTTGCTTTGACCCATATGAGTAGGTAACCCGCTCGCTATCCTTGTTTCTATTTCTATTGCATTCTATCTCACCGTGTCACATTCTGTTCTACGATTCCACTTCGACAAAAGGAAAGAGCATACCTAAGTTCAATAGCTTTACGTCCACTATTCCGATCATGATTTTCCTACCCTCGGGGGGAAAGTAAAGGCCCTTCCCGCTTTTGAAGGCTGTGGGCGAGGAGGGATTCGAACCCCCGACACTGTGGTTCGTAGCCACGTGCTCCAATCCTCTGGGCTACAGGCCCAGCTATCTCCACTGGATCTCTTCCCGGGGGTACCTCTTCATTGCAGGTTAAGAAGATGGGAAAGCGCCTTTCTCTCTATAAGAACAGTGTGTTCCGAGGTGTGAAGTGGGAGAGAGGGGATGTGATGATTGAGGTTTTGAATAAGACGACTTTTGCATAACAGATTTAGCTAGCTGATAATCATGGTGCTTCTAACATCAGTCATTTATGACCATTCATCTGCATCTACCGCATGACTGGTAGTTGTGGTGTCGCAAGAGACCCATCACTCAGTTTTAGATTTGCAGAAAATCCGTTTGTCTCTCGAGACCAACCCCTTAGTGGATACACAGCGCGCGGTCACACAAGCTTCCTTCCAGTTGTGATAATTCTGATGTGCAGCAACATAGCAGCGGTTATTACAGATCATCATTGATCGGATTCATCTTGATATACTCCGTTCTATCGATTCATTTAATTTTTGTTCCATTGAATAATTTCTAGTAACATGAATGACTGAGATCAACAACAACATAATTGATATTATGCATATATACTCTCTCCGTACCGAAATATATGTAGCTGGAGAATTTGAAATATAGTTGCTTCAACGACATATATTTCAATACAGAGGGAGTACATTCCAGTCACGTATCTCTACTATATAAAATACTTAGCTAGTTGGTAATCATGGTGCTTCTGACACCAATCATTTATGACCGTTCATCTGCATCTACCGCATGACTGGTAGTTGTGGTGTTGCAAGAGACTCGTCACTCTATTTCACATTTGCAGAAAATCCTTTGGTCTCTCGAGACCAGCCTCTTAGTGGACACACAGCGCGCGGTCACACAAGCTTCCTTCTGGTTGTGATATTTTCGATGTCTGGCAACATAGCAACGATTATTACATATCATAACTGTTGAGGGAATTCACAATGCAAATAGACATATAAAAGATGATCATACAAAGCCATTCAATTTTGTTGGTACATAGGAACAATATCACATAGGACGGTTTTTCAGTGCTTGAGCTCATCTGCTCCTATGGATGAACAGTAAAAAATTTAAAAATAGCAGACAAAATGAAAAGAAGTTAATTTTTTGGCATGAAAGTTGAACAAGTTGTCTATATGCTTGCAAAATGTCATGACGATATGAAATGCGGACTGAAAAAATTGAAGCTTTGAGAAACGTTCAAAATTTCGATTTTTGAGCACTGATTTTTTGTCCCGAGCTTCACCCACTAGTGCAGAACCGGGCAATAGCACCGGTTCGTAAGGCCCTTTAGTGCCGGTACGGTAACCGGCACTAAATTGTGGGCACTAAAGGCCCCCCTTTAGTACCGGTTCAGCACGAACCAGTGCTAAAGGGCAACCACGTGGCACGAGCCAGCTTCGGGGGCAGGGAGCCCTTTAGTACCGGTTGGTGACACCAACCGGTATTAAAAGTTTGGGGAGGGTGGGTTTATGATTTCTTTTCATTTAATTTTGTGTTTTCCATTTAATTCTTTTTCGTTTGCTGGTATTTTACGATACGACATATTGTACACGTTATGCATATATATAAATAGAATTTCTAGTAGAACCGGTCATTATATATATCTACAACCACAATTAATTAATTCACACATATATACACACATGTATATATATACACACACATGTATATATATATATACACACACACACACACATACCCAATTAGCTAGCTATCTACAATTTCTCCTAATTGGTGCCTTCGGAGCCAGTGGCATTAGCCTAATTGGTGCCTTCGGAGCACGATAACAATTGGAAGTGGTTCATGGG